CAGAGATTGGATCTGTTGAACAGAACTGGATTAAATCTGTGTGTTGTGAATGGATGAAGTTCTATTGCATGTTAATAAAACATGCATAAAGTAAAAGTAAAAGTTAGTTGCTAGCAGGTACAAAAAAACGAAAAAGAGGGAATCTTTTTATTTCCCTTATGAAGCCATCTTTTTCCTACAGTTTCAGTTAAAAGTGAGCAGACAGGCTGCTTTATCTGTGATAAACTGTGCAAACACCAGAGTTCATTAACCTGCCTCCAATGGGGTGTTTTTTCTTCCGTCCAGCAGATTAAACCCCCCAATTAGCTCCATTTGTAGTGTTTAATTAACCACATCAGCCATTTTATTGTCTGCCCAGGGGGCGATTGTAGGAAGTAACAAGCCCACGTTCAGCAGTTTCATTGAGAACTCCAGACACAAGCGTGTGCAGGTCCTTTTTTTTATGGTTTAGTGAGGAAAGAGAATGTGTGTGAAAGATGGAAACACAAAGGATCCAGCCCAGAAACATTTAGTTACATCTTAACGCCTGTAGGGGGCAGCAGCAGCTCGTTTTTGCAACTCAGTCAATTGTGTTTTTGGTTTTTTGTCTCAATAATCTTGAATATGAACGTATTTTTGCGGTTTGATTTTTTTCCCCCTCATTCCACAAGCCGTTAAAGTATTTCTTTTTCTTTTCTTTTTCTTTTTGGACTCACACCTCCTTGATTTTAATACTGACAACACAAGCCGAAGGGCTTACCTGCTTTTGTTGCCTAAAAAGTCCGACCCTGGAGAGTTCAAGACAAAAAAAAACAGATATATTGACACAGGGCAAAAAGAAAACAGCTCTGTTAGAAAATAAAAATCATTAATCTGCGGTAATAACTTAAATGAGATTTCATCTGACAAGAGAATTGATCGATGTCCCACATTTTGGTGCTTCAGGCCAGGCATGTCTTCTGCCCCTTTCTTGGATCATTGTTATTTCTCCCCACCCCCCCCTCCATCCTCTGACCAGCCCACCGGCTCTCCCCTCAGAGGAATATTCTGTATCGGTGGCGGGGTCCGTCACATTTCCCTCCCGTGGCTGCAGACGTGACCTTTGGCCCTGCGTGTGTCCGATTCAAATGCCAGTTAGAGGAGCCAGACGCTCAAATGGAGCTGTTTTTTTTGTTTTTTCGGAATTGCTCCCGCCTCCCAAAGTGGTTTCGATCATACTTCGGCACTCTGTCATTTCCCCAAATAGTTAACATGCAGCCTTAAAACAGCAGCCTGTGGCTGAACTGGGGCCAGATGTTCCACCCTGAAGCAGGTTTGCCCCCCCCCCCAACTACCAACTTGCTATCTTAGCAGACATCTCCAGACCTGAAGCTATCGACAGGAAGTGGAGTTCTAACCCCCAATCTGAGCCATTTAGAACCAGAAAAAGAGCGATCAGTGAGGGACAGACTGGAGAAGTAAAGAAATGTGAGAAAGGGGGGAGTTGGGGGGGTAGGATGGTGGGGGATGGGGAGAGGGGATGGACCATATGTCCATGTATGAGATGTCTCCAAGGCAACAGAAGCTGTGATGAAGGTGGAAACAGGTTGGCAGGAAGGAAGACGGATGGCAACAATGAGAGGGAGCGGGGGTAACAGCGGAGCTGTTTTTTTATTAATATTTTCACCCCCTCGTGAGTCACCACACCCGGAGGGGGGGCAGGACTTCCCTCCTGGGCTTTTGTGCAGTCCGGAGTGAACCCAGTTCCTGCTAAGCGTCCCTGTTTCCCTCTTTTTCTTACCAGGAAAAAAACAGTCACGCGTCACTCCAAATTGATGCGACGCACTCTGGCTTTTATCCTTCAAATCTATTTATTTTTTCCATTCACACGCCGTCCCCCCGCCCCCCCCCGCCCATGGTGCGTCCGTCCCTGTAGAGAACAGGCAGAGCACATCCACTCAGATCCCTTAGTCAGGCACCAGCGCACTTTTGAACATCCTTTCGGGGTTCTTTTCATTTCCAGACAGAGCCGTTTGGGCCCAGTCCCTTATTGAGACTGGAGCGGGCCCATTTGGGGACGAAAAGCCGTCCCCGGCCCTCTGAGCCGGGACCCCCCAGAAGGAGGTGGTCCAAGTTTCATTCACTCCTTCAGTTCCTTCTACTAGTGTTTTTTTTTCTCTTGAAATTTTAAGATCGATTTTACTCACATGGGTGAAATGTATTTTTGCTCTGGTTGATTATTTAAGCTAAGATGTCGAGTTTCAGTAGTTTTACTCAAAATGTCAGTGGTTTCAACCTTTTTAATGATTATAATAAATTAGAATGTGGATGGATGTTTGAACAAAAACATTTTAGTGCATTATTGTGAATTTCTTATTCTTAATAAGATGAGGAACAGCTCCTACAAACTCAATGTTTGCAATAACAAATCCTTTTACTACTATATATAAATATAATCTAAGCTAAAAGTGAAAACTGTCAGCATATATCACTCTTTTTTTAAACTTTTATTATGCAAAAGGTCAAAGGATTCTGAAGTTGAGAAACGTTTCTCTTTGAACGTGTGATGGATTGAGTGTATTTTGGGGTTTATTAGTGAGGCCGGGCTGTTAGTCTTAGATGAGGGGCATCAGTGGGTGGTGCTTTATAGTTTGTTTTCATAGTTAAATGGATCTTTCCACAGGTTGATTACGTCTGACACTGACGTCTGACAGGAAAATGTGTAATTATCCCCTCAATGCTCAAATGGCCGACTTTCCATTCAAACTGTATCACTCTCCCAGGTTAGAAAACCATTCTCTGTAAAAGTAAAGCGTAAACAGACATTTTTTATGTCTGCATACTGGCTTGTATGGGTGTGTGTACTTGATTAGGTGCATCTTTCTGTTTAGTTTAAGGTTCCAGCGTCCTGAAATATCTCAGACGAGCAGATTTTAGTTACCGAGTCAGAAATTCCAGTGGAGGTGAAATCCAGCAGATCTTTACAAGCATCTGTCTGAGTTCCAGTTACCTGTTCAGGTAACTGGTGTCTCGTCTTGTCTTGATTACCTATTGTGTACACCTGGGGTTCCCCTCCCTCGTGTGTTTAAATAGTCCTCGTTTCCCCTTGTCTTGTGCCAGTTCGTTTTCGTCCTTCTTGTTGCGTCTCTCGTCCCTCGTCTTTCGTCTCCCCCACGTCAGGTTTGTTTTTTGCCATAGCCATGTTTTGCCACTGTCTTGTTAATCTTTATTTGGTTACTTTGTCCTAGTTTTGCCACAGCCGTGTTTTTGTACCTTGTATGGACTTCCACCTTTTGTTACAATAAACCCTGTTTTTCCGTCATCTCCGCGCCTGAGTCCTCCCTCCAAACCCACCTTCCTGACAGACGTGACAGAAAACCTGACCCCCAGATGTGACAACTGGTCAGTCTCAGGCCATGGCCTGTTTGAGAAGTTTACTAGTCCGCCCTATCAGGGAGGAGGTGCCTCCTCCAGCTGTTGGAGGAAATGCAGCAGCTGGCAGGAGGCGAGGGTCCCGTGACATTCGAGCCCAGAACCGGGGGAAAAAAACTGGACAAATAAAGGGCTTTTTGTCCTGCGGATCAATGAAGTCATGGGGCCCCGTCCTATTTTAGACAAATGCGTTTGTTGCCATAGCAAAGTTTCCAAGGAAACCAATCAGTCGGTTTAAGCCCCAAAGGCAGATGCAAAAAAACAAAAAAAAAAAAAAAAAAAAACAAAATAGAAGGGGGAAAAAAAGCAACAAAAAAATAAAAGCAACACACGTGTTAAAATGTTTCCACGCAGCATTTTATGCTCAGTCTCACGCAATTAAGGTCAATTAAGCTTTTTTTTTTCTCAAAGCAATTATTTAATGGCACACAAAAGCTTCAAACCTTTGGAGTGATGACAGAGAATATAGAGTAGAGCAACAATTGTCTTTTTTAAAGATGCTGTCCAATTTTTGGACCTTTAGGAACCATGCAGCAGAACGGAAACCAACACTAATGCTTGTAACCAGATTTGTGCCATAAATGTTCTTTAAAAATGTGACATTTCTAAGTGCATCAGGCGAGGCGCGCGGCGACGCACGCGGCAGCGCGCACCCGGCGTCTGTGTGCTGGGGATGGCAGAGTTTGATCTTATTGGTCAGCCTCAGCTCTGTGCCGTGGAAAGAAAAGGCATGACACGAGCTCCGGTGCACAGACCGACTGAGGGCGCAGAGCAGCGCCGCCGCGGAGCGCGCACACGCATCCTGGAGAACACCTGTCGCGCACGGAGCCGAACGCACAGCGGCGCGTAAAGAACACGGTGTCCCCCTCTGAGCTCCGTGAGTAGATTACCCATGACTATAGGCAGATTTAAAAAGAAAAAGATATTGTATTTGGCACTGTTCCAGATTTATAAAGATACTTTAGATGGATGAGGTTTGAAATGGAAAGACTGGAGCGGAAGAAAAAGCGTCCTCGCACTTGTTGCGCTGCCTTTTCTTTTGTAACTTTAAACATTTTGCGGAGATAAATCAGAATTTTTTATGAATAAGTGTGAAGTAAATGTTCTTCCTTTTTAAGATTGTGTCATAGTAATGAAAAATAAAACGAAACCAAACAGTTTTTTTATTCGATAAAGAATGGAACAGGTTTTTATGGAATTGTTGTGACTATCAGCTCTTTTTATACTAGAAAAATCTATATTTGATAACGATCTAGTTCTAGTTCATATATCAGATTTTAGATTTCACGTCGATCAAATTGATTCAATGAACAATTGATCTTCAAAGAAAGCATTTCTTTTATTTGCAGTTTTTTTTCTTTCCGGCCTAATTTTAAAAGTTAAGATTCGGTGTATTAAAAAGCTATTTTGTTCACTTTTTCTTAGTTACACTGGTGCCAATAGCTTACTTCCTAGTTCCTTGTTTGATCACAGACTACTTTCTGTTCTTGGAGCCATGGCGTGTTTTTGGTCCTTCTTCCTCCTGTAGTCTGACACCTCTGGTCGTTTCTGCCCCCCCCCCCCTCCTCCAGACGCACTGAGACCGTCTCAGGACGCATTCTGGAGGGACCATGTGGGTTCTGGACAAGATCCGCGGCTCGGTGGAGACCGGCGTTTTGCGCCAGGGGGACGGGGGCGACAAGAGGGGGGCAGCCCCGGTCTACAGCAACGTCCTGACCCCGGACAAGATCCCGGACTTCTTCATCCCCCCCAAGCTGGTCAGCTACCCCCCGGAGCCCGACGCCCCGAGCGCAAAGCCCAAGGAAGGTCTGCAGCCGTCCGCCTCTGATCAGACCAAGATCAGCAGCCCCCGGAGCCCCCGCAGCCCCCGGCTGGTGGCCAAGCTGGCGGGGGACACGCGGAGTCTCCTGAAGGCGGCCAACCGCCACATCATCCAGATCGAGAGCGCGGACGACGTGGTGGCCGGGGACACCAACGCCGACCCCCAGTCGCAGACGGCCATGTCCCTCCCCTACGTGCCCAAAACGCAGACCTCCTACGGGTTCGCCACGCTCAAAGAGAGCCCCCACACGCGCCGCAAAGAGTCCCTGTTCCACTGCGAGGTGACCAGCCCCATCACCTCCCCCGGCGCGCAGAGGAAGGCCCCCGGGAAGAGCGAGCACCACCTGAACCCGGCCGACTTCGGGGGCCCCCACATCAACCCGTACCGCTACTTCAGCGGGGGGGAGAGCGACACGTGCTCCTCGGCCGAGTCCTCCCCCTTCAGCTCCCCGCTGCTCTCGCGCTCCGCGTCCCTGCTCAAGATCTTCACGCACGAGACGCAGGCCAAGGTGGTGAAGGCCAAGCGCACCTTCGCGCGCCACAGCTCGCTCTCCACCGACGAGTGCAGCTCCGCGGAGCCCAGCCCCAACGTCCCGCGGCGGCTGCACGTGCCGTCCCTCCACGGGGGCGGAGGAGGAGTGGGGGGGTCGGCAAACGACCACGGCCTCCAGCGCGAGCACACCGTCACGCTGCACAAGGGCGGCGCGCTGCGCATCAGCGCGCACCACGACGCCACCACGTGCCGCCTGCTCATCCGCGTGCTGGCCGCCGAGAGCCTGTACGACGCGCACGCGGACGTCAAGAGCATCAACTGCTGCGTGTCGGTGCACCTGAACCCCGGAAAGCTGCAGAAGCAGAGGAGCAACATCATCAAGAACAGCCGCAGGCCGCTCTTCAACGAGGACTTCTTCTTCGACTCCATCAGCCCCGCGCAGCTCCAGGGCCTCTCCGTCAAGTTCAAGGTGGTCAACAAAGGCACGAGCCTGAAGAGGGACACCCTGCTGGGCGAGAGGGAGGTGCCTCTGACCAAGCTCCTCTCCGGCCTCTGAAGCCTGGGTGGGCTCAGAGAGGTCAAAGTGCAAAAAAATAAGATAAAAAAAAGAAGCAAGGATCATGACTCAAGTTAGATGTTTGTACTGATTTTCTTCACAGTCTGCTCTGTTCATTTTATCCCCCCAGAAGTTAGAAACATAAAGAACTTTAAAGGATGAGCGAAGTGCGAAGTGTCTGTGGACTGTGGTGGAAAAAGCAAAAACAAAAGCACAGGAAACTACCAGTTTTAACAGAATGGAGGATTTTTTTGGTGGTCAGTTTTTGGCCAGAAGGCCGCAGACCACAGATCCCCGTGCTGAGGATCCTCCTCCATCTGCCGGGGCCCAGAGATGCTTTTTGTGAATGATCGCCAGCTTTGAAGTGGCGCTGCATCCTGATGTGCAAATGACCCTTTGATCTACGGGGGGAGACGAGGGACAAATAGAGTGGCCGCTTCACATTTACATGCACACGAGACACAGAGAGATAATATGATTGATTAAGTAAGTAAAACTACAAACTCTAAGTGCTTTGATGGGATTGCATGTTGCAGGTGACAATGATAGGTCCTATCCGTGTTATTTGTTAACGCAAAAGAGTTTTTTTCCCATTCAATTTGTGCAAAAATCCTCCAAAACAAAGTAAATGTCCTTTAGTTTGTGGGGTTCTGGGGAATCTTAAGCAAAAGACGAAGTAAGTAAGGATTTTTTATGTACATAAGGCCAAAATAGCACAAAAAAACTTGTTTTAAATTGGTTTATTGTAAACTTTCAAATAACAGCTTGAAAAAAAGAAGGAGTTTATCCTTTTTTAAACTTTATTCTCATTTGTATGCCATCAAATAAAGTCTGTGGGGTCCTCGGAAGCCACTGTTTTGACATTCCGGCTGCAGCTTGGCGACATACGCCACTTAAATTGAATCTCCTGCAACTGAGGGGACGATTACCCGCCGATATTTTGGGCACTCCGCCTCCCGAACCCGCCGATCCGCTTCCTCATCGCACAGCCAATTAAACGGTGATGATTCGGTCTGCTTCTCTTCCACCCTGCGTGTGGGTGTGAACTGGCACCGGAAAGATGTCATTTTCCAGGAGCCTTTTTTTCCTTTTTTTAACTGCATGGTTAACCTCATTTGTTGATCGGATCAGAGGCAAAGGTACTCACAGTGTAATTAAAACAGAATCAGTGAGTCAGTGGATGCAGCCGTACCCTATCCTAGTCATAGCTTTGGTGAGGGGGGGGGGACAGATGTGCGCATGCAGATGTGTTAAACGCGTCTGGAGGGGATCAGAGCGTCTGCATGACTTGAACGTGTCGCTCGTGTTTGCATGGCATGCTCCGAGTTTTACGAAACCCTAAAGCCTTACTGTGTGCGTTCCAATGAGCTGGAGAGCATATATGTGTGTGCGTGTGTGTAGGTGTGTGTGTGCGTGTTCTAATTTGCATGATTTGGTCCCCGGTTGTGAGTTTTTCTACGTACAACTTGTAGGACTTTTTGTAGCACGGTTCTGAAAGGCCCCTCACAGTGTGCTGGACGTGTTAGTGGAGGCGGTAAAATGCTGACTATGCACCGACGTGGCCAGAAAATCTGAAGACCAACGTTTCCCTTCCTCTTCTGATGGAAGCAAAGAAGTTCAGGCCAGGAAAACGACAGGATGTGCTCTGGGAGGAATTAGAAGAGGGGTGTCAAACTCTGGCCTGTAATTATATTTAGCCAGACAATACCAAATAATTACAAGAGCTGGCCCCCGTATTATACTGTACAGACCATTAACCGCTCATACTACAAATCCCATAATGCCCTGCTGCTGTTTTGGCACGTCAATCAGGACAGGACCCAGAAACTCCTCTACCCCTTCCCAAAAATGACCAAAAGAAAGGCAGAAAACAGGAACTTTCTGGATGAGCACATTTTATTTTGAAATTTAATTCACTAGACTGCAAATAGAAAAATGTTTTAGAATTTTATTTCATAAATGAATGCCATTGATGTGTTTTTTTATTTGAAATTTGATTTTGCATGTCTCCGATATTATGTTTTATATAATGTAATAGGAGTTGCTTGTTCCATATTCAATGTTTAGTTTCATATTAAAAGGTTAATTTGTTTAATCTTGGCCCGCGGCTTTGTTCGGCTTTTAAATTTGGGCCCGCTGTGTTTTTGAGTTTGACACCCCTGAATTGGAGGAAATATCTCCTGACCCCGTTCTCCCGAACGGCCCAGGCCTCCCAGGCCTCCCTTTGAATCGATCCCGGGCGAATCTCGACTCTCTCTCCGCTTTTGATGTGCCCGCTGTACTCAGTGTACAATGACACTGCTGGTTGTGTTGTTGTGGTGTAAAAATGTGGTGATCTGCTGGGGTTCCCGCAGCACACCGGTGTGAAACCATTTGTGATGCGTTTCGGTGGTCTCACTGTGTTTTTACGGCTCTCCTCGTGCTCTAATTCTGCTCCAGTCTTTACCGTGGAGACGATTGTTTATAGTCATGCACTTGACACACAATAGATTGTGTCCTGCATGTATATACATATATATATATATATATTTATCAGTTCTATGTCAGTTCACTGTAGGTGGCTTTCTACTTAACTGGCATTTAATTTAATTTAAGTTTGATTGAAAGACGGAGTGTACCTGAGTTGGTCTGTTTAGATATATTTATGTCATATCTTTAGTCTGGGAAGGAATTTGTAATGTGCCTGAAAATAAACACTTGTTAAATACGATGTACAGTATGAGATAGAGAGACCAACAAAGAAAATCAGAGTTTTTGTTTGGTGTATTTTTGGAAAAAAAAGTCTAGTTAAGTTATTTATTTATTTTTAAGAATAGATTCATGTAAAGGGCCTGAAGTCAAAGTAAACACAAGACACTGCCCCAAACAAATGGACCAAACTTAGTGAATATTTCCATGATTTCAACAGTTAAACTATGATTCCTCTTTGGAGCACTGCTGACCAACATGTCTTTGGGGTCATCAGGGGAGGAATCTGAATGGATGAGTTTTGGAAGAAGCTAGTCAAGAAGTAACTTTGTTTGCCGACTAAAATAAATCAAATAAAAAAAAGATTAGCCTTCCCCACTTAGCCAGAGATGTTTATTTAGTCACAATTCTTTTATTTGTCCATACAGTGTTGCAAACCCAACTGTGTTGAAACAGACTGTGGACGGTCTGTTTAAGGAACAACGTTGTAGTGTTTGCTGAATCCTCTACAAAGGATTTTAGGATTGAGTTGTTGAAGTGATGTCTTTCTTTTTTTTGTATGTTAACACAAAGAAAGAAACTGACGTAATTTTCATCTCGGTGCCATCTCACTTTTCATTGAATGAGGTTTGGTGTCAATAACTCATTCAATGAAGTGGTTATTTCTCTGGTTTTTGCTCTTTTCTTAAGCTTATGGTTGTTTTTTTTGCTGTTCGTAGCAAATTAGGACAATTTGGAGGATCTATTTTCCAGATCTACCTCTCAGAAATTCAGATGTTTCTTTTGATGGGGGAGTTTTGCGTTTCGGGGAGCCCCATTCAAACAATGAATTAGATCAAATTTCCAAAAATGTCAACCATTTCTTGTTACATGTCTGATAAGATTGTTCCATAGTTCTGGGTTTCAACAGAGAGCAAAAGAAGACCAGAAAGCAGGACAAGGATAGACACTCATTTCCCAAGCATGAGATTCGGAACTGATCCTGACAATAAAAAAATAATTAACTAAGCAGATTTTCTGCTTTCTTCATCCTGATTCCCAGTCTTTACAGCTTGGTCATGTAATTGCATACACTTTTTGAAAAGCATTGTGTTCAGGTGTTAAAACACATCAGTAAAATCCCACATTTTGGAGTGAAAAAGAAAAAGAAAGCTAACATTTTCCTCATCGCCATGGCTATGCGTCCCTCGACTGTTATGCTATCAGCTGGGCAAACCCCCCCCTTCCCAAAGGGACCATTTGGGAGGTGTCCTCTGTCTGTAAGATGTCTGCATGTGATGAGCTTGCAGAAAATCACTTTTAAAAGTTCTATGGAAAGGCTTTTTTGTCTTGTTTTCATTTTCTGTGACTGATTAGAGCTAGTTATTGGTCATCGATTTGATTCAGACAGCCTTGATATTGACAGAGATAGATTGATGATTGATGGAGAATCAGCATTTGACAAGGTGGAAATGAGAAACTCTGATCTGACTTTTTATCAGGGCTTTGCAGAAGCACAAACCCAATACTGTGTTCTGGTGACTGAGCCGATAACGGGGGTCCGTTAAGACCTTTCTGAGGACCATCCTCACATGTTGTGGCACTTTAGTGAACACCTGTCAGGCCATGGCTGCGGAATATTTGATATTCAGGGAAATTGCCTGTATTGTTTTTCCACAATTAGCTTTGCCGATGGAAATTTAAATTTGGAGCAACGCGTGTTTGTATGACAAGTTGTGTGTGTGTAAGAAAATGAGATAGTCTGTTGGATCCTGTGTTTTATTGACAATTGCTTGATATTTCACTTGTTCAGATTTGCTTTATTGTGTATATTTCTATATATATATATGTGTATTGACATATACATGTATATATCAAACAATAGAGCTCATTTGCTTTGGGTCATATTGTACATATATGCTGGTGTTTTTACTGTCTTGATCTGACTAATCTAGCGAAAAAGTGCCGATCCCATACTTGATACCTAGCTGTTTAATTTTTTTTTTTTTTCCCGTTAGATGTTGACTTACAGTGGAAGCTGGTTTCCATGTCTTCTGGTCTTTTTATATGTTTCTGGTCTGTTAAAGTAATGACTGTGATGCTTCTTTGGATTTTAGGTGAAATACTTAAATTAAAATGATCTGATTATGTTGTTCTTGATTATTATTGATTGTTACCTGATGACATTTGTAACAGTTATTAGCATTACTGAACACTGAATGGACTCAGAGCATTGATATGTAAAAAAAATATATAGATATATGAAAAAAAAGACAATAATTAATACTAAAATAAAAACGATATGTGACAAACAGCTTTTCCTCCTCTGGTAT